ACGTAAAATTTTCATGCTTTTCCGTTTTTACAGTATTCGTGGCCGCATATGTAACTCACACAGATCACGAATACCGTAAGAACGATAACGTAAGGAAGACGTTTTTACGTCTTACGGCCCATCACTAGATAAAGATGGTCATTTTATTCACACATTCCTCTCTTTATATATCTATCGTTGTCAAGATATTTCTCTCTTTTCCTTTCTTCACATATACTTACCACAGTTTATTTATCAGATATTTATTCATTCATCCTATTTGACCAATCTATATTATGGTTAAAGAGAAAACAGTGAAACACAAGATCGCCTAAAAGTTTGTCTGCCATTTTATCTTGCAAGGTTTAGACAAACCAGACAGTTTTTCCGAAGCCCAAGGACTCCCCTTTCTTTAGGTGTGGCACTATTGTAAACACACGAAACATAGGTTATCGATTATGCTCAATCTCGTGGCAGTGTTAGTTTTCAGAACAAAATGCAAGAACCGAGTGAAAACCTATACTAAGCGATATAACCCATTTTTGATTATTTTCATCAAAATTTAAAAAATTCATAACTGAGTCAAAAACCATTCAAACTACTTCAGAATTTCGGCAAACCCTCCATTTTATCTGCAGTTCAATAAGTTCGCAATAATGCTCAATAAATGTTAAAAAATCCAACAGAAAATGCTTTGATTTTTAGAAAGGTTTCCTAGATCGCTGCCATATTTTGGCGATCGCAGTAACTCTACAAAAAACGAAATATTTTTACACTACGTCATATTCATCCTACTTATTCATTTTTTCTCATTTTACGTCGCAATTTGTATGAATATCAGTAACGAGAAAGTAAAGCATCTGTTTATGTCTTCTATTTAAATAATGAAATTTTACATTATATAAGCCAATCTTTGTTCGTCTCTTGTTGTTTTTTCTTTCTACGCTTACACTGATACATAGAGAGACCAATAAACTTGGTGTTACCTTTTTGTCATATAATAATTTTTCATTGGTTAATTTATTATATGTTAGTACTCATTTGTCCGTTAAACATATCACATTTGTTTGCACTCAAAGCTTTTGTACCCTTTAAGGAGAAAAACAGCGACTTTTATACCTGTCAGTTATCTAATGAAGTGAACAGTATTTTGCCTAACTCTCTCTGCCCGTGGATTTTAAAACACAAAATGACTTCTACTCTAGTGAATATACTTGATAGGAGTATGATTACCTGACGAGTACTTGGCAGGTGACGAGCTAAATTAATTTCAAGTAAATTTACTTGGAAAAATCCACAAGTATTATCCTCATTATTTAACTCAAGTACGTGGCTCAAGTACATTCACCAGGGTGTTCACCTCTATAATACAATATTGAATATCGTGAGCATATGAGTTTCGTTTTCACTTTCTTGTGTGTTGAACCGAAACCACAACATTGAAAATCTTAGAACAGATACTTATTAAAAATAATTCACGATCAAATGCCATTCGAGTTAATTTTACATCATTACAAGAAGTACTGTCAATGTTATATGATACTTTATAATAATGTGGAGATGTTATATCAATTTTGATCGATTCGTAGTCGTATTAAACCTTTGTGTTAAACTGAAGTGTTTTTATCCTTTAAAGTTTCGATGCATCAAAGAAAAGCTAAAATATGTGCTATGTAGGTAGTGATTACTTAAGAAAAAAACACTTTCTCTCCGATGCCATTGACCATGTGAGAAAAAGAAAAAATCGTACAGATTTTTTTGATTTTTTTATGTTTGAATAGAATATTCGATTCTATCAGTTTTATTTTGATAAATATTTTGTATCCTTCAATTTAGAAAGTGAGTTATTCTTTTTTCAAAAACAAGAAATCAAGTGACGATAAGAATGAATGGTTTATTATTTGTAATTGTGTTGTCTGCTATAAGTGTAAAAGCGATTATCGGTTGCTCATGTGCTTTTCAACATTATGCTAATGAACAAGAGGAACAAGCTGCTTTCGTTCGTGACTTTAATACAACACCGTATGTATTTATTGGTACCGTTACCAGTGTAACACAAAAACCTTTAGTTCAAACACCTGGCGTAATAAGTTTCAATATGAATCCAAAAATAGTTCATTTTAAAATTGAACAAAATTTTAAAAAGAATCAGCAAGATTTGAAAGAAATTACTGTTAAAACAGCATCGCAAGATTCTATGTGTGGGGTGGGTGCTAGTGTCGGGGAAAGAATGCAAGTGTGGGCATATGGAACTGGTGATACAATTAGTATAAGCCTTTGTACAAGAACTACAAGATGGGCTGATCAAGATATCAACAGACTTCAAAATTTACTGAATGGTACATCATAAATATAAACATTATGAAGTGGTGTGATGGTATCTAACTATCTTGCTGTTACCAAAATATAAGACAGTTATGTTGTTGTGTTCGAGTATCAGAATATATAATCTTCAAAGTGATTCAGACCCGTGAAATCATTGAGTGAAACTAACGTATGACAAACAGTGAGAAATGCGCAGAGTTTATTTTATTTCTCATGGCAGAGACGCACTCTCTGGAAATAATTAGTACTGAAAAAAATTTGAAAGCATTCGAGCATTGAATATAACACTTCAGGTCCCCATAATTATGTTCTATCATATAATTATATTACACACTAAAGACAGAAAATACAATAGCAAAAAGGACGACCAATTGAAAACTCAAGCTCTACTTCGTATAAATATTTTATTAGTATATACTCATGCCTAACAGATTTTGTGAATCAACCATACAATAGTCCATCTTGAAACGTGAGAGGTTTTATCACAGTAAGTAAACCATTCAGTACCGTTAAAATACATGTCAACGACAGACAATAGAACTGCACTGGTATCGTTTTTTAGGCCATCGGTGACCTCATTGTGTGAGTGCTGTAATCACGGATACTCGTTCCCCCTGCAACGATTATGGATGCCCCGTTACATGAAAACTGCGAAAATACATGAAAATCTTAATCTGACTTTAAGGTTATTTGAGATTATAACTATATAAAAAGGATGGATATTAGAAACAACTTGTAATAGAGACGTAATCTTTTTGTGTGTGCATTGTACATAAATGAGATTGTAGTTATTGCTGGTTGTTTTCCATGTATAAAAAACATCCGTCATTCTCATCTCCTCACTGTATTTCACCTTTTATACTTTAAGTGCATAAATTATACAGAGGAAGTTGAAAGTAGAATCGAGATTCTTGACATTATTCATTTTATTTTATTTACTTTTCTTCTGAGCAAAATCTTAGAAAAAAACAGAATATTAAAAACTCTAATATAAACTTCGGTGATATTAAATTGAACAAAGGTATACAGCGTATGAAGACGCACTGCGCTTCCCCGTCTTCCCAGCAACAGTCATAGAATTGCCTTTTCACTTCTGACGGACGTTCACAAGACACCGATGTATTTTGAAAGTAATTAGAAGAACAAATAAGTACTATGACAACATATATATTTTTGGCCGAACGAATGGTTCGTTGTTTGTAAATTTGAAGACTAGAGTATCCTGAACCATTCTACGGTATGCCATATTTAACAATATTGAGCAAACTTACCATTTAATTACTTACGGAATTAGCGTGAAAAACTACATTGAGTAATGCATCACTTATTAGTTTTACAAATAGACAGAAATTCAGAGCAAGGGACCTCCTCATAGATTTTTCATCGGTAAGAATTTTTTTCGAATTTGATTTGTCTTACTTCTACTAAAATTTGACACATAATAAGACAATATTATGCGAAAATAATCATTTTTTAACTCATAAAACCAGATGTCCGCCTGCTCTATGGAAAAATGCCCACTGTGCTGTGTCCTGACTTGAACTCGTACAAGTTCTAACTATGAAAGGAAAGGAGAAATGGTTTCAGTATGTGTCTAGCGTCAGATTTTCTGAAACTCTTTGGGTAGAATTTAGTTGTGTGGTGTGGCAAATGTCAATATCGCATCAAAACAAACGTTTCAGATTCATAACTCAAAAAGATGCTGGAGAATTTATTACTTCGAACGGTAATCGGGTTATTAATTTTTACACACGTCAATGCTCAAAACCAACTAGTCGAAGTAGCGACATCGCCGGAATATCAATGGAACGGTGTGGCTTTAACGAAGAATGGAAGAATGTTCGCAGGATTTCCGCGATCGGTTAGTGATGCGACGATTTCTGTTGCTGAAATTCTGCCAACGAACGTTATGAAAGCTTTACCTGGGGGAGACTGGAATACTTTTAATCCGATAAATTCGACGGAAAATGTTGAGAACCGTTTCGTTAACGTTAACGCAATTCTGACCGACGTGAACGACAATTTGTGGGTTGTTGATGCCGGAATGATTGGTAATAGAACAATTCGAAACTCCGCGAAACTCATAAAAATCAATCTTCAAAATAATATGGTCGAACGCAATTATTCAGTTTCGAGTCTCAATCCTCCAGAAGGCTTTGCTTTAAATGATGTGCGAATTGCCTCGCAGTACGCTTTTTTAACCGAATCGGGAATTGGTTCAATCGTTATAATTAATTTGCAGAGTGGCAGAGTGCGCCGAGTTTTGGACAAACATCCGTCTACAAAGTTCGATGCGCCGACCGTTGTCCGAGTCGAAGGACGCAAGGTTTTAGACGAAAAAGGCGAGCCGAAAAATATGCCGAATAATAACCTGGAGCTCACACCTGATGAAAAAACGTTGTTGTATAAACCATCGTTCAGTTACAACTGGTGGAGAATATCAGTTGCAGATTTGACGAATGAAAATCTGACCGAAACACAACTTGGCGATCGTGTCATAAAAGGGAGCAAAACAATGCCGACAGGCGGTACGACAATGGACAACGAGGGGAACATATATCTGATGGATTTGGAGCGCCGCGCTGTGTGGCGACAAAAGCCGGATGGCTCTTTGAGTTTGATTGTACACGACGAGCGCATCATTTGGGGTGATGCCTCAGATGTAAGTGCAGACGGATTTTTATACATTCCAATGTCACAAAACAATCGCACTCCGGGTTTCAACAATGGTGTTAATCAAGTCGAAAAGCCGTATCGGATTTACAGAATAAAAATTAACTCTGCTCTTCGCACGAAGAGTGTTTCAATTCTCGTATTAATACTAATTTTTATGAAATTTTTTGTCGGATGACGTTCTTCTGCAAAAATATTCAGATCGGCTACAGCATCTTCTGAACGGATTCTTCTAAGAAACTTTTTATTATGCCTCCCGACTGATCCGAGACACTAAGACATAAGTAGCTAGCGTGTGTGTGCTGAGTGGTTTAGCTTTCTGTTTAATATAAATGTTCTTTAATTTTATTCTCTGTGACTACATGTGTTTCTTTCTTACGTAGTATTCATACTAGCAATTTTCGCTTGTTGAACACTCAAAATGATGTCATAGGTCTATTCCTCTTTCTTTTTACTGTTCTATATTTGCTCGATGGAAGTTCTTTTGTTTTTCTTCTTTTAAAAATAAAGCTTAAACAAAGTAACTTATTTAAGGCTAAATAACTTATCTTAAGCATATCACCGGACTCCGAAATTTTAAAACGCGATTAGAGTCCGGGGGATCCCCCGGCCTCGAATCGCGTTTGAAAATTTCGGAGTCCGGTGATATGGTTCAACGCATAGGCTTCAATACACCACCTTTAAAGTATGGGAAGCACAATATGCTCACCAAGCTATACCATCCTCTTATATATATTCGAGCAGTGAAAAGAAAACGATGAACAGATCCGCGAAAAGAAATATTGAGAGGTTAAATAAAGCTGTTACACATTTCTTAAACATTATAAAAGCCACATCAAATCACAGGCTTCTAGTGGAACGGAAAAGACAGGACTCAAGACTAGGACTGCAGCCGTTCACGTTGATCTGGCAAAAATTTCAACGGGAACAGCAACGGTTTTGCCATTGACGTTTTGAACTGTTAACGGCATCTCATCGCGGTAGAAGTTCTAAACTCTAAACTACCCAGCCAGTCTTCCGAGGGGTCTTTCGAACGCTCGTTTTACGTGTTCCGATGGGCCTCGAACGCTTATTTCGAGGGATCGAAGTGCCATT